GTATAGTATAGTATAGTATAGTATAGTATAGTATAGTGGTTGAAATCCTGTTGTATGATGATGGTATCATCAGTCCTTGTAATTTTTCTCACATAAAACATTTCCAATTTCTCCCCCAAAGATCCCAATGCTTCTGTGGCATCATTTTGATAGTTGGGAAGCCAATGAGAGTCATGGGACACGAGGAGGAAGTCTTTAAGCACCAAAAATCTCTGTTGCTTGTGAATAAGCATTCCTCTCAGTGTGAACAACAAAAAGAGAAGGCCTCTTCTAATACTATGCCTGCTGTGAAATCTGCGAAAGTGTGCTATTTTCTCTAGAGCAGTTGTTCCCAGGCTTGGGTCCACAGATATCCTTGGACTGCAACTCCCAGAAAGCCCAGGCATCACAGTTAACGGCGAAGGCTCTTGGGGAGATTTGGTCCAAGATCGTTTGGGGACTCAAGGTTGGGAACCTCTGCTCTAGCGCTATGCAGATTTCTGCCCACTTCAACAGCAAAAGGAGCTAAAACACATTCTGTTAAGAAGCAATGATGTTTCTAGTAATGAGCCAGCTAAATTATTGTCATCATTGTCATCCTTGTGCCACTCAGATTTCTGCCATAACCAACAACATATGTGACACTTTGCAGGGTGAAATAAACACAGAGAGAGAAATCCGTAGCAGGTCTATAAGTCTGTCTGTGAGAATGACTTTCCCTCATCCTTGTTGGCCAGGTACCCCATTGTGGTTCCACGAAGCAAATGTGAAGGAGATAAAGATGATATCCCAGGCGTGCGGACGTATGGTATGCGCCCAGCATCTGAGATGTTTGATGTATACTGCTATATCGATAGACTGAATGGTAAGTTATCTGCTTTTCAAGAGGGGGCAGCTGTGTTAGTCTGTTTCAGGGGGGAAAACACAAAAATCTTGGAAGAACCTTCACAGCCAACAAGGTTGATTGGGCATACACTTTTCTGGACCGCTGTGCACTCCACACCTTCACCTGAAGAAGGTCTCAGCTTGGAGGTTAAGCCTAACCAAACTTGCTCATCTCGAAGTTGCCACAAATTTTCTTCTGTGGCAGCTGGAGAGAGAGAGAGAGAGCAAAGCAATCAGAAACCAAAGAGGTAAACCCAACACAATAGGTAAAGCTATGTAAATTGGCTGCAACGGCTTTCTCTGCTTACTCTCTATCATTTAAAATCATCCCCAGTACTGACAGTGTTTTGTACCATCCAAGGAATTCATGTGCTCAGACAGGATGGATAGAGTGTTGAGTTTGGAGGTGGTGGTGGGACTTACATTGTCTAAGATGGAGGACCAAAAGACTTCTCAGGTAGTCTGTGGGTGATTCCAGGTGAAATCTGAAAACCACTCTATTATCTGACGAGACCCACCTCTTTGTCTATGGTATTCCTTGCTGGTTATAACCTGGAACTACAGTATAAGCAACCAGCAAGGACTTATAATCAACCTTGCCTCTTATTTGCCTTCCGCATACTTCTTTCAACCACTAACTTGGGCAGAGAATATTCTTCAAAGCTCGTGTGTTTGCATGTCTCTGCACACCTTTTTGGTTGACTTTTAAAGGCATCACCTGAAGACGGAGTTTGACTGGGATGTTGGCCTGAGTCCCAAGTCCAAGCCTTTCACTCCAAGTCTCAAGTCCCATGTCTGAGTCCAAAGTCTGAGTCTTTATGACCAAGTACTAAGTCTGAGCTCCTATTAAAACCAAGCTTTTTCACCCCCAGAAAAAAAATGGAGGGGTGGTAGGTTCTTAGGTTCTGAGTCACCAGTTGAGTCCAAGTCATTGGGGGAGGGGAACTGAGTCAAGTCCATTTTCAATCACCAGAGTGACTTAAGTCCAACTTAAGTCCAACTTAAGTCAAGTCCAACTTAAGTCCAGCAAATCCCGCAACTCAAGTCCCCATCTTGGAATGTGTTTTCTACCAAGGTGCCTGTCACAGCTTCCATCTCTGGGGTGGGTAATGGGGAGACTGGGAGCCAAGAACTTACACTTCCTTTTTTTAAAAAAATCCACAGGTGAAGTCTTCTTTGCAACTCAACCAGAGCTGTTCACCTTACGAGAAGCTCAAGAATACTGTGAGAGTCAGAATGCCACTCTAGCCTCTACGGGGCAGCTCTATGCTGCCTGGAGACTGGGCATGGACAACTGCCGCGCCGGCTGGCTGGCTGACGGCAGCCTCCGATACCCCATTGCTCGCCCACGCCCCTCGTGTGGGGGGGACAAGCCGGGAGTGAGGACCATCTACTTGCATCACAACCAGACCGGATTCCCTGACCCCCAATCAAAGCACCATGCCTTTTGCTTCAAAGGTACCATCCATGTTCCAGCGCCTTCTTCTTATATAGGGTGGGTTTCTTCTGACTTGTGCATGATAAGGAGACAAGACGAGGAGTGAGACCCAGCCTGAGGCATACCATGAGTAGACCCATTGAATCAATGGGACTTTCATTGGTTGTAACTCCTTTAAATAGGCTACTTCTTCTGTTTTGGGGCAGAGAAAATGAGGGGAATAAATTCTTTGACAATTTCTCCAGAGTAGGGGTCTCCATTAGCAACACCAGTATCTGTTGCACTTACCCTCTCTACTGTTTTTCTTTCACTTCCACTTGATGTGGAAGCATCAACAGTGTGGAAAATCCTTTCCTGAACATATAAAATATGTTATTGTTCAGAAATACTGTTGAGGTGGTTGTTGTCACAAGGGAACAGTGGGGAATATTTGAAGAATATTCTGTAAAGCGACTTCCTTCCTTCCTTCTTTCCTTCCTTCCCTCCTTGTCACATATATCTAGATATTTAAACTCAACTCTGCTTTTTGGAGTTTTAAGTCATATAGCAGAATCATAGAATAACAGAGTTGGAAGGAGGCCTATAAAGATATTTAAACTCAACTCTGCTTTTTGGAGATTAAGTCATATAGTAGAAGAGTTGGAAGGAGGCCTGTAAAGCCATCAAGTCCAACCCCCTGCTCAAGGCAAGAATCAATTAAAACAGATCTAGCAGATGGTTGTCCAATTTTCTCTTGAATGCCTCCAGTGTTGGAGTGCTCACCACCTCCCCGAGAGTCCAACCCCCTGCTCAAGGCAGGAATCAATCAAAACAGATGTAGCAGATGGTCGTCCAATTTTCTCTTTAATGCTTCCAGTATTTAAGTGCTCACCACCTTCCCCAGAGGTCATGGGTTCCATTGTCATACTGCTCGAACAGTAAATAAGTTTTCCCTGGTGTTCAGCCTAAATCTGGCTTCCTGTAGCTTGAGCCCATTTTTATGTGTCCTGCACTCTGGGATGATCGACGACAGATCCTGCCCCTCCTCTGTATTTTTGTGTTTCTTTCCTCTGGGATGATCGACAACAGATCCTGCCCCTCTGTATTTTTGTGTTTCTTTCCTTTTGTTTCTCAAAGAGATCTTCATAACATTATCTGGAAAAGAGGAAAACCATGGCACAACCATATTCTGCCCCACAGATCTGTCTAGGGCAGTTATTTCCAAACTTGGGCTCTTGGTTGTCATTGGACTCCAGTTCCCTTAACTTCTGATCCTTATCTGGTGTTTTTGGATGCCAACATCTGGGAACACAATGAGAGCTCAAAACCCAAGTTTGGGAATTGCTATTCAAGGGGATGTAGATCAGGTTGGTTTGCTTGGACTCTGTAGGTCAGTGGTTGCCAACCTTGGGTCCCCAGATGTTCTTGGACTTCAACTACCAGAAGCCCTTACCAGCACTTCCAGTGGTGAAGGCTTCTGGGAGCTGCAGTCCAAGAATGTCTAGGGACCCAAAGTTGGCAACCACTGCTGTTTATCAAGTCAAATGTTCAAGAAACTGAGGCCTGGCCAACCACGATCCTTGTCTTTCAGCTCTACCCTCTCTCTATGAAGAAACGGAGGAAGATCTCATCATAGCCCAGCTGGTCCCTGGCATTGAAGAAGTCCCCTCTGGGGAAGAAACAACTGTAGAAATAGAGTTTGCCACTGATTCAGAAAATCAGACTGAGTGGGGAGCAGAAGTATTCCCGACTAACATATCATTGTTATCCAGTAAGTCAGGTCCCATGGTAACAATGCAACAGAGGTGGGTGAGAGAGGGTGACTCTGTTTTCATGGGAGGACTAGATCCACTGTGAACTTTGGTCCAAACTTTACAGGAGTTCTCCAAGTTATCTCACCAGAATGGGTCAGTACTTTGGAAAGCTCCTTTAAACTTTAAATTATACTTTGGACCAGCTTCTCCCTTCCTAAACTGAAGTTGTCTGTCTCCACTATTTTGTAACTCTATTCAGACATGTCTTCTATCAGGTTGCACCATACATGTGGTGGTGTCACATTGCAGTAGGAACCTACATGCATAAGACCAATGCGTCTTGGCCCAGTCTGCACGGTGGTTGCCCCAGTTTGACCATCATGCACAGTCCAGTAAAGCTCAAGAGCCACCATAATGAAATCTGGAAGTTGGTGTTTATTTTTACATTGTGTGAGAAACTGCCACAGTGTCTTGGAATGTTTTCTAACTGCTCTCTCTGTTTCTCTTCTTCATGCTCCTCTTTTTAAAAAAGTGAGTCCGTCAGTTGTTCCTCCCGTCTATGCGACACCAGAAGAGATGGCTACAGAAGCTCCAATCACAGAGATCATCGTTTCTGGGTGGGCGTCTGGAGCTCCAGATTTCAGTGGAACCATTGAACCTTCTGGAGATGGAGAAAGTGGAGAACCTTCTGGGGTTGGAGAAAGTGGGTTTCCTTCTGGAGTCCCAGATGTTAGTGGGCTCCCTTCTGGGGAGAGCGGGTTGCCATCAGGAGACATCAGTGGCATGCCTTCTGGTGTCATTGAAGTCAGCATGTTACCTTCTGGAGATGATGAATTATCAGGAATTGAATCAGAGACCGTGCCTGGACTTCAGGAAGGCAAAGGGGTTCCAGAAATCAGTGGGTTGCCTTCTGGATTTAGCGGAGAGGGCCCCAGCGTCGACCTCAGTGGCTTGCCCTCCGGAGAGTATGATTATAGTGGTCTCCCATCTGGATTCCCGACGGTGTCTCTTGTGAATGCCACTTTGGTGGAAATTGTAACCACCGCACCAGACAGAGAAGTGGAAGGGAAAGGAACCATCGGGGTCAGTGGAGATGGCGAGCTATCAGGTTTCCCCTCTGCTGAGTGGGACATCAGTGGGACAACCAGCGGGTTGCCCTCAGGAGTAGACTTCAGTGGAATACCTGATCTCAGTGGCCTTACCTCAGGATTTGATGTTGGTGGGGAGCTGTCTGGGGTACCTGATATCTCTGGACTACCATCAGGAGTGGACACCAGTGGACAGCCGTCTGGTCTACCAGATTTCAGTGGGTTACCCTCAGGAACGGACTTCAGCGGCACACATTTAGGGATACCTGACATAAGTGGCTTTGAGGACTTAAGCGGGAGGGGATCGGCTGTGGATGCAAGTGGCGAACCTTCGGAGGTCACCTTTGTTGACTCCCATCTGTTCGAAGTGACAACAACGCCTTCGGCTAAAGAAGAAGAAGGGAAGGGATCTGTAGAAATGAGTGGATTGCCTTCAGGGGATGAAGATCTCTCAGGCGCAGTGTCTGGAGTTTTAGACGTGAGCGGTCAACCTTCAGGACAAATTGACTTTAGTGGGTGGACTTCTGGAGTTCATGAACTCAGCGGATTTCCGAGCGGACTTCCAGAGGTCAGTGGCGAAAGTTCTGGTCTGGGTCTTCCCAGTGGCTTACCATCTGGAATGTATGATTACAGTGGCCTCTCATCAGGGCTTCCGACCATCTCTCTTGTGGATGCTACTTTGGTGGAAGTAGAGACACGGCCAACTGTTGCACAGGAACTGGGCGAAGGAACATCTGGGGTGTTAGAAATCAGTGGCTTTCCTTCAGGAGAGAGGGAAACATCTGGAGAACTATATGGTGTGACAACAGCTGATGGATTACCCTCTGGGACATTGGACATCAGCGGAATGGCATCAGGGGTTCCCTATTTCAGTGGAGAAATTACTGGTGTCACTGACCTAAGTGGAGAATCCTCAACTGTAGCTGGTACTAGCGGTGACGCTTCTGGCATCCCAGAGATCACTTTAGTAACATCTGATTTAGTAGAAGTTGTAACAAGCCCAGCAGTTTCGCAGGAGCTGGCTGGAGGGACTGAGGCAACACAGTCCCGTTTTTATGAGTCAAGTGGGGAAGCTTCTGCTCCTAGTGGAGAAACGTCTGCATATCCTGAAAGTACTTTAAAATCCCCTGAATATCATGATATTAGTGGTGAAACATCCACGTTTCATGAACCTGCTGTAGAAACCTCTACCATTCATGAAATCAGTGGAGAAACATCCACGTTTCATGAAACTGCTGTAGAAACATCTGCCATTCATGAAATCAGTGGAGAAACATCCACGTTTCATGAACCTGCTGTAGAAACCTCTACCATTCATGAAATCAGTGGAGAAACATCCACGTTTCATGAACCTGCTGTAGAAACCTCTACCATTCATGAAATCAGTGGAGAAACATCCACGTTTCATGAACCTGCTGTAGAAACCTCTACCATTCATGAAATCAGTGGAGAAACATCCACGTTTCATGAACCTGCTGTAGAAACCTCTACCATTCATGAAATCAGTGGAGAAACATCAGCCTTACCAGAAAGCCATTATGAAGTATCCACCACATATGAAGCCGGTGGTGAAACATCAGCATTGCCTGAAAGCTATCCAGAAACATCTGGGGTACCTGTTGTTAGTGGCTTACCTCTGGAGGCATTTGAGGAGCGGAGCCAGATCCATGGGGATAGCTCAGGACCACCACCTGACCTCCCCTCCGCTGTCCCAGGAATGCCTGATGTCTTACTTGGCACCAGTGATCCAGAACACTCCAAGCATCTGGAGAAGACCACAACTGAGGCCTCCACACCTGCAAGATCAGATTTGGAAATGGGAGGTGCAGCCATACCTGATGTTCCACCTATACCTGCTGCCACGGATGTCCTGCCTGAAGTTTCACCCGAGATGACAAAGGAGATCAATACAGGTATAGTTATGAAATATATCTTTTGTAGAACCTAATCCTAAACAAATGTTGCTTTTTCGATGGCACATATCACTGTCCCTCCTTTTCTGAAATTGTCATCCAGTCATTGAACAGAATCTTTAATACAGTGGACCCTCTACTTACGGAATTGATCTGTATTGGAACGGTGGCTGCAGGTCGAAAAGTCTGTAAGTTGAGTCTCCATTGACCTACAATGCATTGAAAACCGATTAATCCGTAACTGGCCATTTTTGTTCTGTTTTTGTTCCAACTGGAGTTTTTTTCTGGTCTGTAGGTCGATTCTCTGGCTGCAAGTCGGATCTAAATTTTGCAGCCAGAGAAGTCTGTACCTCGAAAAGTCTGTAAGTCGAGCCATCTGTAAGTCGAGGGTCCACTGTAGTCAGAACTGATTATCTGAATGTCCTAATAGTTCATACATGCTGGGTCTTCCTTTTATCTTGCTTATAATATGTTGCCCTTTGCCCACAGATTCACAAAATGGGTCCCTTTCCTCTTTCCTTAAATAGCTGATCGCCTAAACCAGTGCACCAGTGCTTCCCCACCCTGGGTCTCCAGATGTTCTTGGACTAAAACACCCAGACGCCTTCACCACTAGCTGGGCTGGCCAGGATTTCTGGAAGTTGTAGTCCAAGAACATCTGGGGACCTCTAAAGCTTTGAAATGCTGAAAACTGTACATTGGATAATCTTTACTCTTCTTCCAAAGTCCTCCTTCTGGAGACTAAATGAGAAGGTAAATTAGGGATTGTGGAAGCAAGCAAAGAGGAAACTCTTAGGAGATACAACTCTTTATCGTTGTGAGGTCCTGCACATCTTTTACCAAGGTTATATATACCATTTTCCTTAAGAAATACTTTTTTTCATGATATATTTATCAGAACTGGCCACTAGGGGGTGCCAGAGACCATGCTATGTATAGGATTTGCTGTTATCTGCAGTTTTCAGCATCTATGGAGGGGGCTTGGAATAAATCTCCTAGAGATACAGGGGTACTACTGTACTAAGTTGGTTTTTCACCCAGATTGAAATCTGTTGAATGTGCCTTTTCCCTGGTGTGTACACTTATTTATTTATTTTACCAAAATTAGATGTGCCCTTTATTTCTCCAAAATAAATGTTCAAATGTGCAAATTCTCAAGAGGAGATGATCCTGTTCTCTTAACAAGTGCTGGGAGGTCAGTAAACCCCAGTTTCATCATCACAGACGAATCAAGTTAGCAGAATCCAACAAAATTCCTTTCCAACCTGAAGCTAGCAAGGCCTTATAAATGGAACTAAAGACACTTAATTGCTGTCCAGGAGGCACAGTAAGGATTAGTGCTCTCATCCTCTGGTTGTGCCTACCTTGAGTTTAAAAAAACAAAATTCAAGAGGAAATGAAAGACTTCCCATTGCCTGGTTGTTTCGTGCTAGCCATCCTTTATGTAAAAGTTGGATCAGACCATGTAGTAGGTTACCTTCTCTTGTTGCTGAACTTGCGAAACACATGGTGATTATCAATAGCCTGCCTCCAAAGGAAGCATCATACTCCCAGAGTCTTCAAACTTTGCAATTCCCAC